GATCTTTAAGGTCCCTTCCAACCCAAGCCATCTGGGATTCCACAAAACTGATTCTGGACACCACAGATCCTGTTCAGGAGGAAAGTGTGAAGATCCAAGAACTGGGCTTTTTTTCCTACATTGCCCATTTTCTGTTTTATGCTAGTACAGGGTGACTGCTGCACTTTATTTGACTCTGGTGGTGATACAGCTACAGAAGGAGGGATTTATCTCTGCAGAGAGCTTTGAGCAGCTCACCTGCTCTCCTAACATCAAACCAAATCCCCTGCCTCAAAGCAAGACTCAAAGTTCAAACTTTTCAACTTCAAAGCAAGACTCAGGTGGCACGAAAGCCACTTAGGCAGCTCAGTCAGAGCTGACCTTCTCCATCCACCCCAGGTCACACAACCCCTTCTGAACCCCAGTCCATGCCAGCCTTGCTCACGGTGGTTGCTGCCTCTCCCAGCAACCCAACAGCCCAACAGCACAAACACGTGCATTTGGAAGGACCTGGCATTTCACTGCAGTCACACCCACAGTAAAAATTATAGTTCCCATAAATGGCATGTGCAAGTACAATTTGGTCAAAGTCTTTTCAAGGTTTCCGACTGAACAAGTTACAGGTTGTGAAGGTCATCGTAAAGCATCAGAGAAGTTTAAATCTCTATGACCTCGAGAGCTCTCAAATGACTTTTTATCAGCTGTAACTTGGAACTCACATATTCAAGCAGCAACCAGCAGTTGCAAAAGTTCCAGCATAGAAACCAGGAAAATTCCAAACAACACAGACAGGGCCAGATGCAGCTGCAAATTAAATGCTACGAAGAGGAATGAAGAGGCAGCCATGCTTTGCATAGCTCATAACTTGTAGTAGAAGCACTGGGCAGGGATAACAGAACAAAGAAGGGGTTCCTAATTCCCCAGGAAAACTCCTTTCTCCTCACCTCCAGTGTCCTCACAAGACTGGAGGCGGTAGAGGAGATGAATCATACAATATTTGCAAGACTTGTAAAATCTTATCAATTCTGAAAGCCCATTTGCGCTAATCAGCACATACAGCAAGTGCAAATGATAACTCAAAGGAGCAGCTAAATGACTGGTGCAACCAGCTGAAATTGAATCATCTGAAAGTTCACTTGTGGCCACCAGACCAAATTGTCACATCTCCCATTCTTCCTCCAATTCTTCCTTAAAAGGGACTTATTTCCTTCTCTTAAGCAACCATAACAGGATGATGTGCCTTGAACTCCAGTTCACTGCCTTTCTCATGAGTGCTGGGAATGGGCAGTGTCCTCAGGGAACCAAACACCACCTCCCCTCAGGACAGCTGGTTGCTGTTCCCACCCAAGCTCTCACAGTGCCCTTCAGAGATGCCAGACCCCTCTTGCTACCATGCCTGGCACAGGGTACAGAGCCACCAGCTTGCTTCTACTCAGGTTTGCCAGTTTCTTTCCAGCCAGATCATGGTCCAGCCCGAACACCAACCTAAGATAGCACACAAAGAACTGGTGGGGCAGTACATTATACAGCTAAACTTCTTCAGCTGCAGGAAGTAAGTTTAGGGAATCCTCATTTATTTTTCTTCTGCCTCTAGTTTACCACCAGTGTGAACTATAAAGAGCCAGTATCTCCCTGGAGCATCAGCAAACAGGCATCATTCCAGGGCTCTGTATGGTGTATACAGACTGAAAGGAGCCAAGTTCTCTTTTAATTGTGCAGCTGATACTGTGAACTTTCTTCTACAAGTTGTTAAAACAGATTTTTCATCTTTTGAGACAGCCTAGCCTAAGAGTCAAATTTTACTTTCAGTTATATGGGTTGAAGTCCAGAGTAATTGATAATCTCAAAGCAACACCAAAGTCACGTTTTCTCTTCCACTGAAACTCTGAGATTGTGCAACAGAGGAAATGGCAAAGCTGGAATAAGTCTGGACTTTGAACCCAGCTACTGAAGCTTGTGCTTTGATTGTGTGAACTCCCTTTACTCCTGTAAGCTATCAAAACAGTCAAGTAAAGGAGTTAATCAATTAATACTTCAGTTAATCAATTACTACACAGAAGAATCCCAACTTTTCAAAAGGATCCAAAGAAAGCAACACTCCAAAGCCGGTGTTATTTACAATCCGGGCTGAACTCTTGACTTTAAACCAATAAAGCTTCCTAATGATCCTGAATTTCAGAATTAAGCAAATCTGAAGCAAAATAAAAGCTGAGATTTACAATGCATGTTGACCAGCCTTTAATTGCAGCAGCCCCTTGTGTCACACAATGTCCTGTGCAGCACCCATTGTTCAACTTCATAAAGCTATGGCACACTGAGTTTTCGGAGTCTCTGCTATTCAGAGACTTTATTTATTCATAACCTGTCAAAACAAGATGTCTTTCAGGAGAAAGGAGATCCACAGTCACTTAATAGCCTAATTTCTAGCACCGACCACATGAAGACAGGCCTTCAGACACTCTTTTCCAACAGGGATCTCTCAAGCTCATCAACACGCAAGATTATAAAATGCTGTCTGAAAACAGTAGGGCAATCTGAAAACTTACTCTTATCTGTTATTGCAAAATAGACACCAAAGGGCAGGATTCACCTCACCTAATTTTAGCCATCTAAATAGTTGGCATCACATCGCAAGTCACTGCGGCTTCCTCTACAGCCCATGGCATGAGATTCCCTCCTATTTTAGGATGGAAAAAGGAACAGTAAAGAAGGCTTGATGCTGCTGTGGGAGAGAACAGATCAGTTCTCCCCCACCAGAACAGTTTATGGCACATCAGAAGAGTATATGACAGATGCCAGGGTCTGGGAGAATCCCACCATGACATGTCCAAGAGTATGCACGAGGTGTAAGAGACTCCTGTGGGGAAAGCTGCAGGTTTCACTCCACCGTGAAAAGGTTCAACTAACTGTGCACAGCCCTAGAGCTGTGGAGGAGCAGGAGGGGCTGGTCCCAGGCCCCATCAAATGGGGGATTAGGGAAGAAAGGAACCCAAAAAACAGCAGAATGACCTAGCAGCTCATCATGCCATCTGTAACTACTGATGTACATTTAATTTCACTAAAACATTTAAGTATGAGAAACCTTGAACATTTCAAGTACTCTGGAATGTTAAAGGGTCAGGCTTATCCCTGGTTTTCATCCACTCACCTTTTTTCAGCATCATTTTACTCCAGTGACACTTTCTAACCAAAAACATATTATGCCTTTGCTTCCCTGTGATAAGTTTCCCTCAAATATTGTCTTTTCATCTTCCATGAACTCAATTAATTGTTAACACCTCAAAAAGGTAAGCTTAGGGAAAACACACGGACTTTCCTAGAGAACTGTTTGACACAGGTTCTTCTCCAATGTTTCTGATACTTTTCTTCTCCAGAATTTGTAAATATACACTGTATTTCACAGATGAGGTGACTTTTTCTTATTTTCCAGTCTTGCTTAATGAAACACTTTGTACAGAAAAAGCTGTCTCGAGGTTGGTGGGTCATTGATGATTTGGCTCTGAAGAAGCCAAAACTTTGCCAGTCCTGGCAAGCTACACCTGAAAACAGTCATCTGGGAGACACTGAAAGAACTTATCATCAGATCTGAGCAGCTTGCTGGGGAAAACTGTATCTCAAATCACCACTTTGAGCATGGCTGACCATGCCAGTGGACACACAATTAAGATGAACGTCCTGATTGCCTTGTTTCCTGATTTCACATGGAAATGAGGTGCAGATGCACTGCCAGTCCCTCTCATAAGGTTGAATTTGTCCCTTCACCACAGTTTACTGACTTGGTGGTGAGCACCTGTGTCACCCCCAGCTTGTGCACACCACACTGACCCTTGGAAGGTCTTAGTTTCAAGTTGGGAAGGACAGGGAAATTTTCAAGAAATATCTCAGATCCACAGGACATGAGGCTCCATCAGCTTTTCTACATGCAGAACTACTTTTTTCTTTTTCTGTTATTTGCTGGCTTCCAAAGTGTGATGAAAGACCGTTGTGAGCAGATAATTCAATGCAAAGTAGATGATGCCCTTCAGTGTTTCTTAAAAGCAAACACTTTCATGAGTTGATATTCCAGGAAACTACCAATTATCATTCTGATCCCTTTAGGATTAAACTCTAGGAGGATTAACTAGGATAGCAAGACAAGAAAACAAATCCAAAGAAAGCACACTTTACAGAAGATTTAAAGCCTTCCACAAATCTGTGCTTGGTAAGTTCAGTGTAGTGCTTACATGCAGAACCCCGTGCAACCCACCCGAATGTGAGATCTCAATCTTCATTTTACAGCCCCAAGCCAGACTGTTACCATCTGCAGCATCTGAGCCAAGTAATTTCAAGCTGATTTATTACATTTCTAACTCTGAACATCCATCATTCTGCAAACAGCCTAAAGGGAGATGCCCCATACCTTAACTTACGCATTTTACACTGTTCTCCCTCTAAAGCTGTCTGCCAATCATAATATTTAAATCCTATGGAGCTTACTTTGTGTTTTCTGTAATTTGAAGTTCACACTGTTTTATTAACATGCTGCATTCCCAGGTGAGGTGCAATAACTTTAGTATGGAAAAAGGTACTACCACAGCACTGCACTTCTCATTTGCTGTTCCTTTGAATAGCCTCACTTAACTGGCTCTGTTTCTGACATTACAGGAATGAGTGCTATTATTTTCTAAAAACGTTATAAATTCTACCAATATCCAGCACCAAGTGTTTGTATTTACCCCTGAGGTAAGCAAGATGTACTCAGAAGCTCCAACAAACCCCAAGGTTGTGAGGGCATGTGATGCTGCTCATGACAGAGCAGCAGTTCCTTTTAGCCTCTTCAGCACACAACTGGGTACCACAGACAACAGCAATTTATTTCCCTTCTCAGGGTTTTTCTAAAAACAATAGCCCAGTTTCTAGCATGCCTGGCAGCCACAGACCAGCCTGACTTGCAGTTAAGAGTGAATCTGAATACAGATTTTGAAAGCAGAATCCATTACATGCTACAGAATTTCAGTTTTCTTTTATTACAACAGAAAGAGAGCAGTGAGAAATAACAACAATAAAACTGGAACTTGGGGTGCATTCTGTCACAGAAGAGTTAGAAAAGGCAACAGATTTTTTTCTCACAGTACAATAATTCTTAAGGATGGACCAAAAGGATTGTTTACCACTTCAATGAACTGTTATCAAGGAATGAGAATATTTTACCCCATCTAGACAGCAAATACACAACATAACCACAGACCATTTTGGAAACCCGTTATCAATAAAATTCTGCTCAAAGAAATTAAGCCTGTCCCATCTCTACCAGATCACCCAAGGTTTTATCTGGGCATCTAAAACCCAACAAGTACAATTTTCGTCAGGTTAATTCGAATTCCCAAAAAGGATTCTGTCAGAGGAACTTAGGCAGAGGGTTTTTTTTCAGTCAAGCCCATCTCCAACAACTCTTGCAGCATAAAAATATAGGAAAGACGTAAGCATTTGGTGTTGTAGAGCTCTTCTATGCTTCGTACTCAAATATTTTAAGATCCTCAAGGAGTTCTTTAGCGAGTGCCTGCAGCTCTGCATTGCGGCTCTGGGACAGGGCGACGATGCGCTGGAAGGGCAGCGTCTCGCGCACCTCGGCGCCCGACCTGGCCAACACCTCCGGCTCCAGGAGCACCGACTGCAGCAGCCGCAGGGCATGCAGGCAGACCTCTGTGTCCGGGTCTAAAAGCAGGGAAGAAAAGCACCCAGTGCTTGTTAGGAGCAAGTGTGAAAGGATCCACCAGGCACAGGGAATAACGGAAGTGTCCTAATCCCAGGTGCTGTTGGCTGTGGCTGGCTGGCTCTAGCAGGTACCTGAAAACCACATTTTTGTCCTCCCTCAGCAGCTTCTGCCCAGCAGTGTTTGCGAGGGAGAGATAACCAGGAACCTTTCTCTTATTTTCCAGATGTTGAAACTGCTGTGAAGCAGGGAATTTATCACCCTGAATTTATCCAGTCAGTACCCAGGATGTACTGTTGGATGCAATCCAATTTAAGAGCAGAACAAACTGCCATGAACAAACAATATCCCATGATTATTCAGACTTAAAAACAGACTAACAAATCAAATCTGCAGTAAATCATCAGGCTTTTCTTTAATTTCTTTTTATATGAGGCTTCAGATTTCCTCAAAGCTCAATAAAATATTAATCTTTATAAAACTTTCTAGCAACCACGTATCAACCTTCCAAGTGTTTAATTCAGTCTGCACAAAATTGAAATGGGTATTGAAGCACTGCTGCTCAGGAATGTGCCAGGGAAATGCAGCAAAGACCTTTGACTGACTTAAGCCAGGAAGACATGTAATAACTCCACTGCTAAGAACACAGAATGCATTTTTAATTACTGAAACATTAGGAGCATTACATTTTAATCATTCGCAATGGCCCATTTGCATTTAGTGGTTTACAGCTTTATCAAAAGCATGTGGTAGAAAGACTTCCCTATTCTGCATATTCCAAATGAAAACATCTAATATATTTTTATAGCTGAAGCAGTTATTTGTCCCACGTGCCATGCATTTTTAATGTGTTTTTCATTAGCATACCTAGTCTTCAGCAAGCTTTTGAAAAAGGGTTGTGCAGAAAGGTTGAGAAAATTAATTCAGATCACTTTGAGCACAAAATCACCAGAGAGACCAAAATCTCACTGAAGGAGCATAAAACCAGTGCAGTGGTGAACCAGACTGCACTGAGCTTGGAGGAGGCATTTGGTGGGGCTGAGGCAAGTTCTTTCCTTTCCTGGCTTATTTCACATGTAACACTGGTGACCTGAAAAAGGACTGAGGAGAATTATTCATTAAAGCATAGGGGTTGAAAGCACTCAGGGGAGCCAGAGAACAGGATGTGATGGACGCCAAAGAAGACTCTGGATTTCAGCATGAAACTCACTGCTGAGATGGGGATTTTTAAGTAATTTGCAGCAGCACAAGGCTGAAGAACAATATTAAAGATTGTGACATCTGATCTACACCCAAAAGCCAGGCACTCTCTCTCTCTTCCCCCATCTTCCATCATAAATGGAAATAAGCAGGTGTTAACCTCTTTAAGAAAGGAATTCTACTTTCTCCTGGAAAAGCAGCAGGGTGGGCTATAATCTGAGGACACAGGTATTGTCTAAACCCAAAAAACAACGTGCATTTTCTCCTTTTCCGTGCAACGAGAATCCTAGCTGTTGGGCATGCTGGACAATTTTAAACATGTCAAATCAATAAAAGCCCCATGATTAGTGCTGCACACCCATGGCACAGCCAGTCTTATTGCTGACACCCAGGCTGAAGGCTCTAAGGAGTCTCTTTCCATCATCATCTCCAGTAGTACCTGCAGGTGCAACTTTGAGGGATGAGCAGTTGTAACTCTTGGGGAAATGCTGCAGCTCAGCCTCACAGACAGCAAGACTTTATGTCCTATTTCCAGGGCGGCAACACTTCAGTGAATCCTTTTGAAAAAACCTGGGTACAAGTTTTGGTTTTCAGACTTATTCTGACCTAATCAAAATATGACTAAAAGCCTTGAATTTGTCCTCTCTTGCCTTCCTTTTTTGCCTCCATGCCTTCCACACTGTGTATTTTTTAATGCCTATATTTTTGCCTGATATATTGCTCCAACTGCACAGATCACCTCCCCCTTTTTCTGTTCTTAGTATTATTCTACACTTAATCATTGGAAATAGCAGCCACAAACTACAGCCCAAATAGGTAAGAAGAAAGAAGCTTTGGGGAGTGAAATCTGTGTAGTTCATTTACAATTTTTCTCTGTGTGACATTATTCCTCCATGAAATAAAGACACTAATACTTTTAATGGCTTGCAGTACTGCTGGGAAGCTTCACATATGTAAGATGAAAAGAGCTTTGTTATTAATACTGTTACAGGAATCAATATTAATATTATCTGCAAGTGTTTAAAGGCTGCAGAAATTAAAGAATCGATCAGGGGAGAAGCCTTAGCAGGGGAGCCAAGAAAATGAGGATCTGTAGGAGATCAGGAAATGATTTCCAGCTTGATGAACAAGAACATTTTCCAGTAAGAGCAGAGAGGTTCTAGGAAGAATCTCCAGCAGCAGCCAGGGAAGCTCAACAGCTTGAGTCACTCAAATGAAGAACAGATTAGGCACGCGGGCATCCAGCAAAGGAAGGAAATAATCCTGCACCAGAAGATGACTTAATACACATTTAACCTCAGATTGCCATTGTTTTGAATGCATTCTGAGATGTTCTGAGTTAAATAAATACATCTGCCTTAAAATACACTCCCTGAGGATTACATGTGGTTTTGAGAATACTACTTATTGAGGATAATCATGTTTCCTAAGAGGATTTAAAAAAAATACCAGAGAAATCTTTCTCTTGTCTCCAGTATCATTACGGACGTTTTCTAAAAGCCTTGTCTACAAAGCACTCTGAGAAATGTAAGGAATCTTCATTATTCAGCATTATATTTATGTCAACAGCTTCCAGATTTAGTCATTTCTACACTAGCTGAGTAACATTTTGTTTGTACAAGATCAAAAAAAATCCTTTAGCTGTAATCAAATCAGTGCATCACATCCTCCCAACCACCAGCACACACATCTCCAACTACAATTTCAAAACTATCACCATTATTTCTGGGGAAGAGGGGGAGAAATCAAGCTGCTTGCCTCAGCCAGGATCACAGGCATAGCACAAACCTATCACCATCGTAAGGTGCTGATGTAATTTTACCAAGGTGTTGAAACTGCTGGAGTTTGCTGACGTCCTGCAAGCTGCCAGCTCAGTTTGATGTCACTGGCTTTCAGTCACTGACAAAAGGCAGCTGATAACGTGGATGGATTTTAGTCACATCTGTCATTAGCACCAGGCTCTCAGATGAACTGTCCCCTACAGCAGTATTTAAGTAATTGCATTACATCAATGCTGAACAGCTTATCCACAATTGGCTCAGAGTTGTGTGAACTCAATATACACGTGGCCACACCATCCCCTGGCCACCTGAATGCAAGATTTATTGCCAGCACACTGCTTACAGCTGTGCCTGTGTACAACAGCACAGAAGTGCACAAGGCCAAGTGCAAGGTCCTGCACATGGGTTGGGGCAATTCCAAGCACAAGTACAGGCTGGGAGATTGAGAGCAGCCCTGAGGAGAAGAACTCGGGGGTGCTGGTGGATGAGAGGCTGGATATGAGCTGGCCATGTGCACTGACAGCCCAGAAAGCCAAAGGTGTCCTGGGCTGCATCCAAAGCACTGTGGGCAAGTCTGCCCCTCTGCCTCACTCAGATGGGACCTCACCTGCAGAGCTGCCACCAGCCCCAGAGCTCACAATATAAGGAAGACATGGATCTGTTGGAGTGAGTCCAGAGGAGGGACATTATGATGATCAGAGGGCCGGGGCACCTCTGCTATAGAGACAGGCTGAGAGCTGGGGAGCCTGGAGAAGGCTACAGAGAGACCTTAGAGCCTCTTCCAGTGCCTAAAGGAGCTACAAGAGAGCTGGAGAGGGACTTTGTACAAAGAAACGTGTCAGGACAAGGGGCAATGGCTTAAAACTGGAAGAGGGGATGGTAAGATTAAATATTAGGAAGAAATTCCTCACTATGTGTGCGATAAGGCACTGGCACAGGTTGGCCAAAGGAGCTGTGGATACCTCATCCCTGGAAGTGTTCAAATTCAGGTTGCATGGACTTCTGAGCAACTTGGTCTAGTGGATGTCCCTTCCTACAGAAGGGGGGTTGCAATGAGATGCTCTTTAAGATCCCTTCCAATTTAAACCATTCTATGACTTTATAATTTCAAAAGCTTCTCACCACTGCTGTAGGTATTATTCAATTCAATTCCTGTCTGATTCTAGCAGGAAGGAGCAATCTGCCTCTCAGCCTTTCCTTATAATGAGCCTGTCAGACTATCTGTGTTCACAGCATATCCAACAGTGCCAGCCACGGCCAGGGCTTCCCCCTATACGATCCTTTTACATTGCCAATGCTGGCAAGGCTGAGGCAGCACCTGCAGCAGCAGAATTTTCCAGACATTTCTATGCTGTTGATAGGTCTGAGGAGACAAGAAATGTTGTGGTAAAGATGCTCTGAGGGGAAGAAGCAGGGAGAACACCAAAGTAGAAAAAAAGACCAAGCTTTGCTGCTGCAATTCTTACAGACACAAATGCACTTTCTCTCTGCAATATTTCTGCCACAGCTCCTATATTCCAGCTGGGTTTGTCAGCTCCTTCCTGGTTGGGTGGCTGCTCCCACATGGAGTTCAGCTAAGGAGAATTCCCCACTCTCCTACAGACATGTTTGTCATACTTTTATCAGGGAAATCCTTGAGAGAGACTCCCAGGATCCAAACTGAAGCAGCAATTCAGTCACAATTTGCCTGGCCTCTACTGAGGGGATGAGAATGAACAGGAGTTTGCACAGAGCTCTGTAGCTGGTGGGTAACACTGCTCCTCACAGAACATCAATTTGCATGAGTTGTTAGGCAGGGCAAGGACCTCCTGCTCCTGCTCAGATGGCAAGGACAGCCCAGAGCTCCATCCAGGCAAGCAGCTGAGTATGGAAAAGGGCAAACATTCCATGAGACTTGCCCTGGCCACTCTTCCAGCCTCCCAGATAACTGCGGCTCAAGGAACTCTGCGTCAGAGCTGACATCCCTGTATTCACCCAAATGGATGTGGTCTTAAAGGGCAATCTTCTCCTTAAGATTAATTTCATCATCTGAAGAACAGCATGAAGATGAGTCAGGGGAGGTTTAGGCTGGATAGCAGAAGGTTTTTCAGCCAGGGGGTGGCTGGGCACTAGAATTAGCTCCAGGGAGGGGAAGCTGTCACAGCCCCAAGCCTGACAGAGTTCAAGGAGCATTTGGACAACATTCTCAGGCACATGGTGGATTCTCGAGATGTTCTGTGGGGTCAGGAGTTGGACTTCATGATCCTGATGGGCCCCTTCCAACTCAGCATATCCTATGGTTCTATGATTCTATGACAAGAGGATGAAATTGCTGAGCACTTGAAAGACTGGTTTTGATTTATGAAGCAGAATTTGTTTTAATACAGACATCAGTTTATAAATATGACGGTTCTGTTTGTCCAGATGTTTTTTAAATAACATGAGGCCATGCAAACAACCTGAAATTTCAAAAGCTCTCACAGCCATAACAAATTCAGACAGAAGAACAAGGCATTAGAAACTTCAGAGTTAGTAATGAAAAGCAAATATTGAGGGTGCAGGCAGCAAAGTGAGAATGTGCTTCATACAAGCATTTCTAGTAGAGACCATCATTTGCAAAGAATTTGGATAAACAAGGTTGGATTTCCACATGAAACAGTGGTGGAAGAAACTGAAGGGCAAGATCTAAAATTAGTCCTATGTCTCTTTTTGTGTTTTGTTTAATGAAGTACCTGGAGCAATTTCCCAGCTATGGACAAGAAGTATCACTAACCAAGTGTCTCTGAATTCCATGCTTTCTCAAGTATCCAAAGAGACAAATTTTTTAAACTGCATTCAAAGAAAAGGAAAGTGGAAAAGAAGAGAAAATAAAGACACACAATGTTAAAAAAACCCAACCAACCAAAAAACCTCAACCAAACAGAGAAAGTAGAGAAGAGCCTAGACACCTTTTCTCCAGCTCTCATTTGTTGGTAAATGTTCTGAATGATGAAAAATGAAAAACAATAAATTTAGTCTTTAATATTAATACCTGAGCTGATTGTTAGTTCTTTTTCTTCAAGAGATCCTTGGCAGAGTAATGTTTCAATCCACTTCTTTGGGAGTTACAGAGTGGAGGTCTTATTGCATCTTTAGATGGAAAACACCAGAAAAAAAATACTGACAAATCTCAGGTAGATTTCCACTCAATATGATACAGGCTTCTTTTTCTGTGGCTGAGGACAGGGCTTCTTTAAATCTGAAAGTTATGTGAAACCCTCAGCCAGGACACCAACACAGGGACAGCAGCTGATCGAGGAAACTAAAGCTGCCTATTTTGTCCAAGATGGGAACAGCTGCTCTGCAAACACATGGTGCTCCACAAGAGGAGAACTCCATTGATCCCACAAGCTGCTCCACAGACAGAAATCTGAGTCATCATTCATGTGCTTTATGCTGGCACCAGGCTGGGAAGGTGTAGGCAGGCACAGCTGATACCTACACAGAGGATTTAGTGATCTGTGTTGGTTATTAAAGGGTGTCCATCTTTTAGAGAGTTTAAAACTGGCAGAAAACATAGGAAGAAAAAGACAGTCCACTTCATGAAGTGTTAAAACTACAGAGACCTGAATTATCTTCAAAAATTATGTCAAACATTTGGTTTTCTCCTATGATCAGTAAAGCCTCCAGCAGAAAGATCGATTAAGAATTCTTGTTAGTGAACATGAAGTCACACCAGCTCATCCAAGTTTCCTGAAGACAGTAGGACAGTTTGCTGTTAACATTCTTACTGCACTAGGAACCTTTATTAGATTTTTTTCCCTTCTATCTCTTCCAGTCAGTGTATTCAACATCAAGGCACGTTTCTGTCTCTTCAAAAATTCCGTGAGGCAACTTGAATCAAATCCATCTTTGCTTCAAATACAAGAAGGGGAAATAAAGACAATCAAGTCAATTATTTGCTCTCTTCATTTAATGGGAAGGATATTGTTCTTTAGGGAACAAGGATGGGCACAGACTGAGAACTCAGAGAAGGAATTTGAGGGATTTATCAGCTGCATACAAATGGAAGAAAGATGGGCTGATGCATATAGGCTTAGGCCATGGATGTTTGGAGATTGACAATAGAAAAGCAAATAGGATGATTCTCTGAAAATAAAAAAAAATATCAGAGGATGATTTCTGGGGCCTCTCTTAGTTGGAATGGTGATAAAAGCATACAAAACTGGAAAGCTGAGTCATGTCATAAGCCTTAAACAAAACAGGCTTTGAAGAAGCTTCCTGCAGGCAGGCAGAACATCCAGGATACTCTGCCAGCACAGGGTAGTGCTCTACTCTCCTGCATGGAAAAAACAAGACCTTATAATGTAGCAGCTCCAGGTGTTTATGAGCTGAATCTTGGCTAGCAGAACCTGAAGATGCTGGTCAGGGAAAGAGGAGAGGAGTAAAAGTGGGAGGAAGCTGCTGAATTTTCCTAGTAGAGACATTTAGAAATAGGTTAAATGTTGGAAAACTACAGAGATCTCACACAAAATGATGGGAACAAGATCGGGTCTTGGATCTGACCCCTCATCTGATATCCAAACCAGTCAGCTCTCTCTTGACAGTAAGCAGACTTCCTCCAAAGGAATCTGAACCTGCAGAACTGCTTTATCTGAAAACCTTCCTCCTTTGCTGTAACTGGAGAAGTTTATTATCAAAAAGTCAAGGAATTAGCCATGATCATCTTCTTTCTACAACCCAGCCATAAACAATTAGCACTTCCAAATTGCAGAGTAGCCTTTCCATTTCTTATTTCCATTAGTAGCTGCAAATTAATCATAAATGTTGTCCATTCCATCCTCTTACTTGACCTATGAGCCTTTTTCAGACAACAGACTGCATCAAATTATTATATTTTTTGTTTTATCACAACAATTGGAAGGGCATATTTGTGAACTCATAGTCTGACAGGATTCTTTGAGCGTGTTTTGGGTTGGTATTTTTCACTAGAACAACTTATATATATATTAGCCATCATAAATTAAAGGAAAACCTGGACTAAGATGTGTAAAATTTCAAAACACAGCTGAACAAAGGACCATGTATTTGATGTTCTCTGAGGATCCCATTTTTTATCAAAATATATTAAAAACTCCTATAGAAACGGTGTTTTCCCTTACAAGGATTACTTAATTTCCTGAGACCTTGGAAGAGAGAGCCTGTGGCATTCCACAGCAGGAAATTATTTCATGAAAAGCTTGAGCAGCTACATTTTCTGTAAAATAATTAAAGGAACCATGAGCTATACAAATAGCTTTCAGTTTACCAACCCTAACCAAAGCTTTTTCAAAAAATCAGCATCAAAATAAGGTCTGGAAAAAGCAGATACAATCTCTCTCATTTCAGCTGCTCCAAGTATTTAGCAGTCGTACCTTAGCAGGGCTTTAGCAGCACAGAGGGATAATTAACCTCCCCAATTCTATCTGCACACCAAAATCTCCTCATAAATCTCGAGAAAGCCCAGGCAGGGCAGTGTCACAGCTCTGTCCCCCTGCTGTCCCTCACAAGCTGTGCACACAGCTGCCAGCCCAGTCCAGCGCACACTGGCAACGTCAATCCCTGCTGGCTCCTGCACAGGGATTTGAAGCCTTCCAAAGAGCAGAGCCTTGATGTCACTCATGTTCCTGACAGTGACAACACAAGTCCTTGACGTCCTTGGAGTCCTGCACTGGCCAAAGGCATAGCTGGGAATAGTTCTCCAGCCCTGGAGCCCCAAATCCTATTAAAGCACAAGGCCTCCCTTCAGAAAGAGACACTTTTGCAATGGGTCAGTGAAGTTACAGACTTGGCTTCTTCCCCCCAAATGTGTACATTTTCCTTTGTTCATGGTAGTGAACAGATATGTAGTTTCCCCTTAAGGTTTATTTTAAAGTTGGTATGTGAAGACACAAGTGGCTGGTTTTTTTTAAATCACTTCATCAAATTTCTCCAATCCCTATTCTTGAATCTACCACCCTAAAACTTTACATTAATGGATTATTACATACAGTGGCAAAAATTCTGTGGGAAATCCACATCTTCTCCCTCCAGCTATTTGTCCTTTATGTTTACTTTTATTCTAATGTCAGCTTATCAGGTTACAGATATAAATTTCTGGTTTATTATTTGCAACATCTATTGCAAATCTACAAAATCTTGAAAGTCACAGTTCACCAGGTTCTTAGAGCAACTTACCATTCAACAGCCACCAAAGCAGGGGAATAAAACCTGGACTTTCACTGATGTACTTCAAGCCTCTTAAGTTGATACTCACATTGTAAAGTGACATTAGCATCAGCCTAGAATTGAAAGAAAGGAGATGTGAGAGCCTTTGATTTCTTTGCATGCTTCAGCAACTTTTGACATTTGTGTCAAGCGTGTGCTGATGCAGATTATTATCTGCATCAAATTATATAAATATTCCTGTGCTAATAATTTATATTTTGGTAACAGAGAGAAATCTCAAATTATATATATAAGCCATGCTGTGCAAACCTCTGTTCTTACTGTTAAATCACATCTTACAAACACAAGGAAAAGAGTAAGAAGGTCCCAGGGAGGGCCTGGAATGTTCTCTGCTCTGGAGCCAGCTTGGCTACTGCTTTCCCTCATGCCTGAGATAAACCTGCATGTCACTGCACTGCCACCATGTCCAAACAAAAGAGAAATGGTAATTCCAAATGCACTTCACACCTCACATCCAATTCTCAAACAAGGTCTCATGGTTTAAGCTCCTATGCCACCAGCAGACTTTTGGACACTTTGTGAACACCTTCAGAAAGCAAAAAAAGGCAGTGACCCGTTGCAGGCTAAACCAAATTTTAAGAGGTGTCATTTACGTGCACCTTGCTTATTAAGGAGGAGAAAGAAGGAAGAGCAGATTTATTAAATTTACTGCACCAATGGCCACTGCCAAGCAGGGAGAGGTGCTCTGGATCTGAAATTGCAGCTGGTAAAGCTCATACATTTTCAGCCAGCTCTCTGGGCTTCCAGAACAAGCCCTGACAAAAGAGCACAACACTACCTATAATCAGCCAGAATGGAAATGATCAATAAACCATCATCTTATAATGGCAATGTTAACATTTCTTGAGAATGTCTTTCACCCTTAATCTGTTTGACATTTGCAGTTAGAAATAAAGTGACGTAAAAAGGCACTGCTGTGTTTGTATTTTTATTTCACTTGTTTGCTTTGTGCAGGGACTGGTGGTGGTGATCCAGGGAAGTGCTGAGGTTTTTGGAGTTCTGGGATACCTCACAAGCCAATGTAGTGGCATATTAATATGTAACAGCATATTTAATTAAACACATTCACCTAGGCACAACAGAGGAGCATTTCCAGGCCCTTTATAACCACCTTCATCTCCAGTATCAGCACATTTTTAGTGAGTATCTTTTGCAATAATAATTGCAAAAGTGCTCATTGAAGCAAACCTGACACAAATTACTGATTACTGGATAAACAATACTTTCAGGTGTTTTTTTTCTAAAATGTGGAGTGAGTCTTAATTATGCATTTCATAATCTTCCTACTTAGACAAGCCAAATTTAATTAACATCTTGTACTACTATATCTGTCAATGCTTTCTTTAAAATCTAGAACTAAATGCACAGCTAAAGCTCACTCTTGTCTTGTTAATACACGGGATTAGTACATAAAATATACTATTATGTTTAAATATCTCTCTTTACTGGCTACGTTCAACTGCCACAAAAGCAAAGTTGCATATTCTTAACCATTTAATTATAGCTACAAACAATTATGTAAATGTTTATTGACTGTAACAATTACTAACATTGAACAAACCCTACACCAGTGAGAAGGAAACCTAAAGTCTTTCACATCTGCTATTTCAGAAAGGCAAGGACACCCCTGAGATTTCAGTCTCAGTGCTCAGGTTGATGCCTGGGATATATTTTATCCCATACTCATAGACTATAGTGGATATCATAGCAATTTTGGAGTAAGTGACAGGTTCTCCCTGTAATTTTTTTGTTTATATATTCATCCAAATAGAACACAGGACTGCTAGAACTAGAAAAGAGAACTCCTCTCTTTATCAGCTCACTTTGATACTGCTGTGTGTAGAACTGGACTCACAGTTTCCCATGATTTGTAACACAGCAATGAAAAATATTTTTGAAAGTAGAAGCTAGAAAATAATAATAAAACCTCAGAACTAAGCAAAAGACAACCATAGCATTTAAAATTAAAAGCTAAACTTTTCTTCAACTGATTGAATTGCAAGTTGATGTCCTCTCATGTAACACCACGGTGATGCTTTAATAAATTGTATTTCCAGAATAATGAATAGACATTTTCATCTGTGAGGTGCAGTTTTAAAAATCTATCTGTATATAAATGTATTTGTAAACATTATTTATCATGATTCTGGAGTCCATCTTCACCTAAATTTGAAATTGCACTAGAATTTATGGTAACCTTTGTATCCTTGTCTCACAGTTGTCTTTCATTTTGTCCTGGCTTATGCTTCCTATGGGAGGAGAAAAGGGAGTTCTTCTGAAACATTTGCTTATGAAAATGCTGATTAAGGTTAACCAGCAGCTAAAAAACCTCACATGCAAAGAACAATTTAAAAACAAATCAACCAACCCCCCAAAACCCTTCTTTTCTCGACTGGGAAACTGTAAAATTCCCCAAAAGGATACGAGAACAATCTAGTGTTAGTAACAGGTTTTTCAAACTGAACAGTGGCAAGACACATACAGAGCTCATAAAAAAAAAGAACTTTTTTTTGACTATGGACATGAAAGATAAACAAAGGGAAACATTTTGCACTAAAACATTTGAGCAAATTAGTCTCCCTCATTCTCTGACAAGGCCATGAAGAAATGTCCTTTCTGGCATTTGCTGGAATGTCAGCATACAGCAATTTTTATTTTTTTTATCCAATGGCAAGTTCAGAGTAAGGAAAAAAAAATGTTGGTTTTGTGGGATATCAGAAAATGTCATCACTGCGCTGCATTCAAGCTATTGCATCGTATGTTTAATACTTCTCACTTATCAACCACCTTGAGCAACCTCTTATCCAAGCCTCCCTCCATTTGTTAGCCTACAAAGCTGGCCCCTGTTGAATTCCTTGCTACCTCATGGGATTGCTCTATGGATATTTTACCAGCAGTGCTGTATTGGCAGCCAACTTTACACCACCCTGGGTAACTCTTCTGCAAAGCAGGCAGATTTTGAAGCATAATAACAAGCAACCTAAGACATAAACTCAAAAGAAAGGGCCTCAAAACCAGTTACATTAATACAATATTAAATGATCCATAATAGTTTATAATTTAATAGCTTATCTGGACCCTAAACATGTATCCACCTGAAATTCAGAGGAACATCTTCCCTCCTCCTCTCAAAGTCCACTTTTATTTTTATCCCATTTACAGATTCTGAAACAGTATGGATTCCCTTTCCAGGGTTGTTTTTTTCTGTTTGTTTGGCTTGATTTTTTTATACACATGAAAGCACAAATTACCTTTTCTTTCATAAACTGAGATTCTCCCACAATTCTTTCAGTTGGGATGTTATCAAAAAAACCCTAGCACTGACCTTCAATCCCAAAGCTTGACAAACAGAGTAAATAACTGATCTCAAATCATCAAGTCACTATCTGCAGCACAAGCTGTTCAGCTTTCCCCTCATCACCCAACATGGAAAGGCAAACTCCTCCAGAGGACAACTTGCTCCCCCTCACATGAGCAATCACCTGACAGCACCATCTCCTCCCAGTGACTGTGGGAAGGAGCCCAGTCAGTCAGCAAATTCCTGACATCCCCCTCTCTGACAGCTCAGGTTAGGCAAGGTAAAACCTCTCCAAAGTGAAGACTAAGCCTGGTTTCATGACTATCACATCCAACCTGCTTAAATGTGTGCCTGGATGTGGGCAGGTTACTGTAGCTGACAGAGCTGCTGTTTGTCAGCTGAGCTGGGACAGCTACCTGGGGCATAAATTGTTTGTGTATTTATCAAAAAAACACCACAGTGGCTCAAACCACCTTCATCAACAAATGAACCAGGTCTACAGGACCAGTGCCCACAGCTCAGCAGATGAGCCACTCGTTAAGCCACAGTAATTTGCTCAGTGAAACCCATATATCCTCAGATTTTAAGGTTTTGGACAAAAAGGCAAAGACAATTGTTTATTTAATCTCTCCATCAGCTTAAAAGCACTTTTACAGTAGCTGAACTGTGTAACAGGGCCTTGCCTTTAAAGCTGTATTGCAAGGTCACTTTACAGGCACTGTCTCTTCCAAATTGAAGTGCGTGGTGAGTCTGGCTGCTAAAGAGCCTGAAATGATTTCATTTTTTCTCTTAGCAGATCCAGTCATTTTCTTCACTAAGGACATGTGACATTTTACACTTCATATCAGAAGGGAATAAAAATGAGTTCACATTTCCTACATCTTCTCTGTTGTAAAACTTGACCTCACACCTTCCTTATTTCATGCCAAACTCATGACCCCCTCCCAAGCTAGAAGAGGGCACCCCTGCTCACCTTTACAATATTATGGTGCTAAAGAGACTTCCCAAGAGACACAAAACCTGGATAAAGTTTTGTAGTCAACCCTAGTATATCTGCAAGGAATGATACTGAGAAAAGAACTTCCAAAAATTATGTTTCCTCTCCAGGAAAGGGATAATGGGAGAGTGGGAAAACTAGTGTCATCACTTGAACTGCACTGCAAGATAATGCATTTCATCTGAAAGGGGCAAAAAAAATCAACATACACTTTAAATTTGTTACAGAGTCCTGGCTTCATGTCTCCCAGGAGATGCATCATCGTGTCCAGTAATTCCCGACTGGAACTGACGAGGAACTCACGGCCACACGCCAGTGCAGCCACATCTGTGGGAAAGCACAAAACATCACCAAAAATCATGTTTCAAACAAAAGTTTATGCTAATTATCAGGACCACTAAAAAGACAAGTCAGTTGTGAAGAATGAACTATGGCATTGATATAAACTTCAGACTACATTCACCTGTACAGCAAATATTGAACTACAAACATTGGTCAAGCTCCTTCAAAATTCTGCATTGACAACCAAAGCATTTATTCAAAATGCTCAGTGTCCCAATAGCAGCACAGTAAATTGTGAAACAAAAGGCTATATTCATCCACAGGTAATGTGTGACTGAAACAAAGCTGATCATTATAGGTTCCACTTTAAAGGAACAGGATTGCAGAGTCTTACAACCACTTAATTCAATATACCTGGCACATCACACAACCAAAAAAAAGGAGTTAATTCCTACCTCTATGGAAGTGTGGCATTATTCAAGCACAAACCAAACAACAAAATTATTTCCAAAGGCTACTGTTCCAAACAGACTTTCCTTTATTATTGTCCCTTATACCAGCCCCACTACTCAGTACAGTAGCATAATGCATCACCTAATAATTTTATTATTTTATCTTTATTGACATCCAAACAGTTAAAAACCCCACATTCAGAAAAGCTGTTCATTCAAGATTCACTTATTTATACCAATATTGACTGTTTCGTCTACCTTGCATCATGTCTTTAGTGTAATTTTGACAGTTACAGTTTCACAGAAATTCTGATCAACCTTGTGCCTCACAGCTTCCCAAATCAAGCACAGTCATTCTAAAACAGATATGTGGCTTTTTACTTATTTTCTGGCCCTAAAAAAACCCACTTAGTATGGAAGTCAGGTTTATAACCTTTTACTTCTCTTACACAGTGAAAGTGCAGCGTATCTGACAATAACCATTTTTTTAAGCACTTTCAAAATCCTCAGTCCATGCCTTAAGCTGGGGCTGATCTATTTGCACCATTGGCAATTTGTAATCTTGTAGATATTGGCACCACTGGTGATTCACAAAGTACATTGCTCAATGTGTAGAAACTAATGTGAGCATATAAGACTGGTACAATGGTCCTTGTTTCATTCCAGACTGAGGGATGCAACAGGGAATTTCAGAACGCAATGGCTCCTACCCATCTGATCCTTAACGATGTCCCAGGCAGCACAGAAGTGTAACAGAACTGAAACTGAAGAGCACTTCTGTACCAGAAGTGTCAGTGACAAAATTTGTTAGACCTTCAGAAAACCAGAAAGTCACCCAAGATATCAACATTGACAACTTAACTTTGAAAAGCTGTATTTACTGCAGCTTCTATGAGGCAATACAAGTTCCCAGCAGGTGTGGAATGCTATTCTGAGACAACACTAACTTACTTGTTACAATCCCTGCCAAAGCTAATACAAACTGATTTTCCTCAGAATCCAAATCCTGCTGTTTCATGTCTTCACTTAATGACTTCACAAAGCTCTCCATGGTCTGGGCAGTGATTGTGAAAAACTTTACTGCTTTACTCTGCAAGTATGGAGGAGAAGAAAGATTATACACACTACAGCAACTATAATTATTAGATGCTACAGTAAAAAATGGTCAATCTTCCAAATTATTAAAACATCCAGTTACTTCAAATAAACAACAGAAAATACCAGGTATTCACTGAGTGACATGTTTGATCCCCTAATATTTGAAACCATTACCTTAGAACAAAACAGGAAACTACTCAATGCTACATTTATTAATAAAACTGAACTACTGCATATCTACCTCCTAAGCACACAATTATATATAATCAACCAGCAGAATTAAAGCTTATTATCAGAATTAAGAATATTATCTCTGTTTTGCAGTAGTTGCACCAGGTGTTTCATATTTACCTGGCCTACTACAGTAGCTTTTGTCAAAATCAGCTGAAGACTGGAGACTTAGCATTAAATTCCTAAGAAAACAATAAAGTCCCCAGGAAAAAAAGCAGAATTCAAATGGATCCTAATAGGACTCATTAATTGCTCAATACAGCATGGAGATTAACAAGTTATGCAGGAGTTCTTTGGAAAAGGAAATGGAGGTCTCTCCTGAGTCACAGGTTGAACTTAAGTCAACCACGTCACGTGAGAAAAATTAATCACCACAGCAGAGCACACGAACAGGAGCACAGGCTGTAATTATGGAACAGTCTTTTCCCCTCAGCTGCAATCCTGCTCCATCTGGAGGTATCTCAGCTGAGGGAGCACCACCTGGTACAAAGCTCAGGGCAGGTCAAAGAGCCTGGCCTGAGGTGCAGAGCCCACAAAAAAGGATGGAGAGACCTGTTTCTGTGTATTGGTAATTCTGTAATTAGTAAAACTTTGCTGGAACTCTATTTCCCACAGATGATGAAGGCTTTCATAACCAAAATAGTGTGGCAGAAAGCCCATAATGCTGGGTTTTCCCAGTGTCTTTAATAATTTTTCCAGTTGTTTCATGGAGCAGCTGAAATTTCTGGTCATTCCCAGCACTGACCCAATGGGAGAGCTGAAGAAATGCCTGAACTTTTATTCATTTTGTAAAGTGACTGAAAATCTTAATACTTTTGCAAAATTACTATCTGCAAAGCTAGCGACATTTATTTATTCCTCTACTGCTGCACATTTACCACATTAAAGATGTACCGTTCCTGTGGGGTGACTTCAGCAAGAGGGGACAAAGAGCAGGCTCAGTCAACACAGTATCTTCACAAATGATGCTGTGGCCCCAGAACAGGAATGAAGGGATCATGGAGCAAGAGGAGGAAGATAAGTGCATGTGCTGGATGTAGGTTTTATATGGACACCACTCCTCAAAGACAGGAGTTTTAACACAAGCGCTGACTATAGCTCAAGAAGCAAGGGGGTGTGAGAGAAAATGAGGAGCCCAACAAGTCATTATGAAAATACATATTCACATGGCAACATGAAGGTACTAAGCACTCTGAGAAGTTGGTATGCTGCACAGAAAACAAAAGAAATCTTCCATCTGCCAACCTCTTGAAGTTTCACTGGTGTCCTCTCTGCTGATCCTCCTTTCCAGACAGCCACTACTGAACTAGTGCTGAGCTCCAGCAGAAACCCATCAGGTTTATAAATAGCAAACATTGCACACTCTGCACAATCTCTTATTAACTTGACGGCATTTTCATGGGACTGAAGAATGTCTCACCCACACACGTTGAGATAAGGCCCGTTCTGAAAGCAGCCATTAAGATGCTTGAGCTCAGATGGTGCAATGAACCCTCTGCTGTCTGTGGAAATCCTGTGTGAAAGCTCCAGGTAACATGAAAAAATTGCTGCCACAAAACATGAAGTCATTTGTCACTGTATCAGACAACTGAAGTAGCAAAACACCTTGTAGGATCAAAAATTTCTCAAGTTGAAGCAAGCCTTGATGCTGTTCTGAAATCAAACTTCCAGGTTGTATTTCCATGTGAGAAGCCTGTCATATCTGACTGAAGCTTTTTGAAAGACGTCCAAAACAATCTCATGGGAATTAATTTACTTCTTTTTTGGTAGCTGCAGGTAGGAAACCTTGAAAACTCTCTCATGATGCTTCTCTGGATGCCTCTTCAAATCCTCTCCAGGAACATGGGCAAAACCAGCAGGCATCTCTCCCCCACTGCCTTGAGAACTACCTGTGTCACGTTTCAAATCTGCTGCTTAAGTTCTGATTTTCCCAATCCTTATGGACACAAAACATATATTGGTCACTAACATGATTTCAGTCCATTTGCATTACAGGACTGCAAGAAAGACCTACTCCTGTGTTGCTTGAAGGACTGAAAAAAACTTGGGCATTGTTCCCTAAGGCACGACATGATTCTGAATTGATGCCACTTTCCCCATGTGCTTAAATATCAGCTACAGTTTCAAAGCACCCTTGATGTTCTCATACATTTCTGTAGTTCACAGCACCTTCTCAGGGGAGGAGTGAAGAAGCTACAAGCTGTACAACTTGTCCCAAAATAACCCAAACCAAATATGTTGTATGACAAATCTCCATCATCTTTTAATGACCTGACTCACTGCCAGTTGCAATCTGTGGTTGACACCATGCCACAGAATCCATTTATGCTTTTCCTAGGAGTCTTGCTGCAACCCCAGGCACGTTTCTTACCATGTCAAGAAAATGATGCCCCCAAATGTTGCTCTCATCTTCACCAGAAGTACAGCAGCTCAATAGGCTTTAATGATTGCAGAAATGACTAGAAGTATTTTGCATTTCAAACCAACCTAACTCCCAAAGTATTGCATCTTCACAGTTGGGTTTTTTACCTTCAAACAAATCTTCAGGCAACAGTTTTGTTTTTAACTAATTCAACTGAATATTAATACTTAAGACTGCTTTCAACAACCAACCTTGTTATATAAATTTTAACTGCTTTATGAAGTGCTTTACAGATGTTTTCCCTAGTAACTGCTGCTGCTTGTATTTGGAAACATCAGAAGTTATCATTAATAAGGCATCACTGTACAGCTTTCTAATATCCAATATAAAGTTGTAATTGTATTTTGGAACACCCAACTAGAACAATTCTTACAAACACATTGGCTTACCACTTACTATAATGAACTAATCCTATTCACACTGTTGTTCATCATGCTGCTGAAAATCAAGGCAAAATAAACTGTGGCATCAGTTCACTCAGATTAAATACAGCAATTCCTTCTCATGCTGGCTGTGTAAAGAATGAAAATCGTATTTTTATCAGGCCTGTTGCCCTAGTCCCTCCTAATTCCATCAGCTGCACTTGGCAGTGAAATAGTGATAGTTGCAATATTGCCACTGTCATTAACTGTTGTTGTTTTGGTCTTGTGGTTTGTTATTATTGTTGGCTTTTTCAAATAATCTACTTGCCAGTGTTTAACATTGATGATTTAATATGATCCACGAGCAGTGAGGATCTCTAAATTTCCAAGAGTCATTCACATATTAAGGCAGCAGAGAGATTTAAAGAAGTTGGGAATCAACAGATCTAACTTTTCTCCACAGAAATAGCTCCTCCAAGCTCTCCACAGGCATGGAAACTCCTGCATGTGCCCAGGAACTATTCTCTCCTCCTGTTAGCTTGTGAAGATATTTACATTGTGCTAACTGTAGCCTTGCTTCCAGTTTAACTGTGTGTGGTGGAAAACAGATAACCCTCATTTGTAACAAAAGAAATAATTACTGCATTTATTCTTAACACTTCACAGCTCCAATGCTTCTTAAATGAAAATGGATGGTTCCCAAAGAACAGGCAAACCAGAAAACACTTTTGCTGTCCAAACAGCTTCTGAAATACATCCTTAAAGTGTGTTCCACAGCAGGGCCCTTATTTTAAAGGTCCTTGTTTCATAGGCCTGAGAGCACTCCCAGGGGTCAGTATTCACCTGCCATACTTACTCCTCCTAGAATGGATTTCACAGCCTCCTCATTGCTGGATACCCCCCAGAGCAAGGTGCACACGGCTGCTCCCATCTCTGTGCAATACTCTGCCTGCTGCAGGAGCTGCTGCTTGGCCTCGCTCAGCTGCTGCCGCAAGTCCAGCTTCTCCTGGAACAGTGTAAGGAAATTTTGGTTGCACTTCACATCTCCCACACCAAGTTTCTAGGCTAGGGGGTCAGAACAAGAAACACAATCATGGCCCTCTCTGAAATAGAGGGTAACCCAGAGCAGTTGCACACATGTTCCTTCTCTCCTGAGCGGTCTCTAAGTAGTGCAGGCTGACAGGAACCAGAAACTGTCCACAAGGTCAAGCCAAGTGACCCACTGAGACTGAGTGGCACCTAGAGAAGCCTGATAGGAGACACCTCCCCCTGAACAAACAGCTCCATGTCTCTTCAAGAGAGAGGGGATTTCAGCATCAGGGGCCAGCATTCCCTGACACCTTCCAAAAGATACAGGAAACATCTCACAGGAGGGGAGGGTTTTTTTTCAAAAAAGGCATCTGCTCTAGCCAACATGGAAAGTTGCTGGATACCTAGGATAAATACTGTTTCTCTTCCAGCTCTTTTCCGTCAGCATAGTCTTGAGCAGCAGTGGCAAAGCAAGACAGAGTCCCCAGAAAACACACCTAAGGTTTGAAGTTTGTAGGACCTTCCATTGCAAGAAAGCCGAGGCACCACTGTGCATCCATGAGGTTCTGAGCAACCTGAGCTAGTGAAAGTCATCCCTGCCCACAGCAGTGGGGATGGAATGAGGTAACACAACTCCAAAATCCCTTCCAACCCAAACTGTTCTGTGACACAATGATTCTGTGACCACTTAAGCGAGCTGCTAAGTGGATCTTGCCACAAAGCATAAAGAGAGAACAAATCAACCCTACAGAACCAGAGCACAACTTCCATTTGGTAGTACATTTTTCCAATCACATGGGAAGCTGGCTAGAAGAATATCATGGAATTGGGCAGGATTCTAGGTCTCACTAGCTTTCTACCAGCTGCCACAGGAGTAGCAAAGCTGCTGCACTTCTCGGTTTAAAGCCAGCCAGATCAAGGCAGGGATTTTGCAGTCCATGTCTCAGGCTGGGTGGGGGCTCCCAGCTAACTCCAGGTAGGGTGGCATTAGACAGTGCTGAAAGGAAAGACCAAGGCCAGGCCAGAAAAATGATGCTAATTCAAGTATTAAAAGAGAGAGAATCACAGACTGCACAATGTCAAAAACCAGAAGGCTCTTACTTTGCCCATTTACAGACATGGTATCTTCAAATTCACTGCAGAAAGCACCTTCCTCAGCTCAGCCTTCCCAATGTGTTTGTCAGGATGAAGTATGGGGAAATGAGAAGGCATCTTTTCTATGTCAATTTTGAAAGCAACTAAACAGAACAAGACTTTCAACCATGTTTTGTCATCAAGACTTTAAGTATCTTGTTGGTTTTTGGGGTTCACCTCAGTGCTTCATGTTGAGGGTTTGGAAAGAATAGAAATGTAAACTCATCTGAAAATTTATATAATGTGGTGTCAACCAGTACAGAGCTGCATCTGCTTTGTCACCAACTACTACTGAGCCTCCTGATCACACCTATCAGCCTGATTTGCACTGCTGCTGATGCAACACACATGTGAGGATTTGTAAAGTTCAGGTTTAATTTCTCAAGTAGACTTCTGTGTGTATTTAATCTCTGAAGTCTGTCTCACCTACATGTGCAAAAGAATGACACTTGCTGCTGATTCCATAGGCAGAATCTCCCAGGAAAAGTCTCTTATTTCTTAATACTTTGATCGTTTTTAAGCAAATTAGCTAAATTCCATCTTTTACATGACTCACTGCCAGGCCTATCAGCTTTTCTGCCACCATGTTCATGCACAAAATGTCCTCAGGCATCTTCCTGTCTAATCCCTGTATTCTCCCTGTCTTTTCCACACTGTCCTAGTCTTAGGGAAATATATCTTTAATACATTTTATTTGCATTTGGATGCTTATACTGAGTAAGACATAAAACCCAGTAATACCAAATCCAGATCCCCCATCAAGCATGCAAAGCCAGCAGAAAAAAATGCCAGAATTTTTAGTAGATCAAAAGCAACATCAGAACAAAGATATGAGGCAAGGAAAACAAAGTAGTACATTCAAGAGCCAGGAAAATAAACAGAGCCTGCAAAAGCAAATAACCTGGCTGGAAGCAACACTCCTAAGAGCTCACATCACCCAGCAATGCCTGTGCTATCCAACACCACCATCTTCAGGAAAAGGTCAAGGCACAAAAACACAGCAGTGACCAAGTATGGAACTGCAAAAAGACAGACAAAGGAGACATTAGCCAAGAATAACATGTGCACTTCAAGTTTTGCTCAGGTTCAGAAAGCACAGCAATTCTCTCATCAGTGATACAGCTCTGCACAGAGAATTTGGAATGCAAAATGTTGATTTATGACAGCCTCAGAAAAGGACACTGCTCAACCAGAAATGCATTTATTTCATGTTTGTTTCAGTGAATAATTTTTTTCTCCTTCAGAAGATAAATATGTAGAAAATAATTCACAAATTCTACACAAGGATGCCTAGAGCAACCAAATGAGAAACACCAGGAAAGTGATTAACAGCAGCAAGAATCACTCATATACACACAACATTTTGTTGTATCCTAAAGAGCTAAAGGACTTCACAACATTATGAGCACAATCCACTGAAATATACCTTCCTGTCATTTAACAACCCAGTCAGACAACTGCCCCACACTGCACAACAGCAAAGTCATGAAGAGATTTGAGCAGAAACACTAAAACAACTGCTCCTAGTAACCTATCCATGCTTTAAGTAAAACTCATCCAAAAGAAATCATAAAACAAAACCTGCCCTTTATTTTGTAGTATTAACAAGAATCATGGATGGACTCACTTCATTAACATCTAAAGCAACAACATTCAATTTTACAGGGATTTTATCCTGGAACTGAAGACCTCAGTGCACAGCAGTATGAACTCTGTACCTACTGCTAAACTGCAACACCTATCCCAGAAGATACTTATTTTGAAATAAGGAATATCCAGATTGACAACTATTCCATCATAACAAATTTCATTCCAGAGTGTCTTGTCTATGCAGATGTCACTGAAAGTGCATTTCTGAACTCTTCATTATTCCTTTTCAAAATTGAAGTAAGTTTTGTGGTTCATCTGTCTTTGTGCAATCCCAAGGCTGGCAAATGCCAGCTGTATAACCCCAACTGCTGACTACTGAAGATGGCTCCAAGGAAATGAACTTTTGCAGCAAATAATCACCACTGAGTCTCACAGAGACTCGTTTGAACTCAAATGGCTTCACAGTCTGAGAAATCAGTGTCTTTGCTAGTCCTTAATTGTTAAGAATCTCCCCTCTCATAATCACTTAATACAATATTGACAAAGAGGAGCCCTGAAATTGCTCTTTGATTCGCAGTTGTACATGGCAATTGGATCAATAGGTGCTTGGAGAAAGACTATTAACACTAAATAAAAGTACACATCTCACAGCAAACCAAGAGAGGCTGCTTTCATTCTGTAAATTGCACTGCTTAAACTATCTTCTGTTGTCCTCTTTGCAAATATGTTAAATTCACAATTAGCAATGTTAAATTCACAAGAACTGATTCTGTGAAGGACCTTTTGATTCCAGCTACGCCACAATCTTCCCAAATACCCAGTGTTTTACTTTAACATGTTCATATGGATAGGGATGACTATTTGGATAGAAATCTCAAACTGTTTTTGAGACTGAGGACTCATTTTGTGACATGAAAATGAAAATTTTATCATTACTCCTTTTGTTACTAAAACTCAAACACACAGGTATCAATTTCCTGGCAGCAAATCTACCTTCTTTTCTCTCATGCAATCTGCCTGGGCCGTTTCCAGACGGGCTCTGAAGTGTTCACAATCCATTCTCAGCTGCTCTATTTCCTCCTCCTTTTTCTCCAGGTCTGTGACAGGATAAATCAGGTAAAAGAAAGAAGGAACACACTGTGGTCATTGGGCCTGCATTAAAGGAAAGAGAATCCACCAAGTGCGACTTTACTGAGGTGCCTCAGCCGTTTGCTTGTGCGATATCACCTCCCCGTGGCTAAATGGGAATCTCACAACTTGCTGTGTGGCAACAGCTCAGAAAACAAACCAACACATCCAATTTAACAGAATCACATCTAGCTGTTAAACACTGAGGGTTGAAAAGATTTTTTAACATTTACTCAGTTTTCTACTTTGTTTTCATGTTGGTTTCCATGAAAAATCCGTAAGTGAAATTTCACCCAAGTCAGTGACTATATTGAAAATGTAAGAAAAATACCAACAGTAGTCAAAAGTACAACTTACATGGATAGCAAGAATTAAAAGCAACTATACCAAATATTTTAAAATAGTACTTTATAAATAATAGTACTATTATAAAGTAGTATAAGCAACCTGGGCTAGTGGAAGTTGTCCCTGCCCATGGCAATGGGGTTAGAACTGGATGATTTTTAAGATCCCTTCCAACCCAACACATTCTGTGATTCTGTGATCATAAACTATTTAAACATTATTTCAGTTACAAGCAAATTTTAAGATTCCCTTCTAAAATTAATTTCTGATGTTATCAGAAATTTCTGTTATCAGAAATTCATTCTAACTTAGGCATTTTATTTTATTTTAGTGAATAAAAATCAAGTTAAAAGTATTCCATTTCACCAACATGATGCCTGTTTAAAAAAATTCTTTTTGAGGGACAGTTTTAACAATAGCTGTGTATTGTATTTTACTTTAAAAAAACACAATCCTTGATGCTTAGTATTTGTACTGAAAAAGGGAAACATGTTTAAGTAGCTCCAAAAAGTAAAATCCAAACAGCATCTACTGTAACCTTGGTTAGTTTAAAAAATAATAAATTACACCCCACTTCAACCACCATACTTTTGAACATGACAGTTTGGTGGATGGCTTGAAATACTTCCCCCAACATGTGACAGTATTTTTTAATGTAATTACCAAAAATCATATCAAATTCTACCATAAGAAGACAACATCATTAAAAATTATCCAAATATGTTCTCATTAAACAAAGGACTTGGCTTCTGGCATTCTATTTAGTAATTCTACATGATTTGAAAAGTGATACCTTCCTGTTTTGGTGCTAATTGTCAAGTTTATAATCTCAAATATACACACATTGCTTTGAGTAGCCTGTATAAAAGGAGAAAAGCTGTTTGTGGCTGATTTATCTGAAGAGGTAGAATGTATTTCCACTCAGCCCTCGTGTGATTCCAAGCCAGCAGCACTTTTTTAACAGAAAGCAAAGAGGCAAGGCAAGGGCTCACTGCTGAGAAATATCTCTGTGCCAGGACATGCTCTGTTAGTAACTCCTTTTCAAGCTGCAGTCCAAAGGAAAAGAATGAAGGGAGGAATGGGTTAATTGAGTATTTGAGGACAACTCTGGTCAGTAGCAAGAAACTTTCTTTCTGTCAAGTGGAGAAAATTCAGTGTCATGCACTTCTGACTGTGTGGGTGTGAGTCCTAAGAAGTTGACAGCAAGATGTCTTGAGCAGGAGCGGAACGTGCTCTTACCAACAGCAAGCCAAGAACCTGTTCAGCTGTGCCAGGTAAGCTCATCCAGTGAAAATCTCTGTCCCTGCAAGGAAACAAGCTCTCCAGAAAGAGAAGAACCACCTCCAGCCTTTGAAAGGATGGATCCAACCTGAATCCAGCCAGTAGACACACAAAGATGCCCCATCCTTCACCAGCAAACTTCAAAGGTCCTGGAACCAAACCTGAGCCAGAAGGAGAATAACATTGACCACTGAGCGCTAACACAACATAACCTGGATTTTTTAAAGGGCTTCAGATAAAAGGATGTGTCAATGTAATTGAAGGTGTCACAATGTTTTATATAGAAGGGGCCAAAAAGGACAATAGTGGAAGCTGCTCTAGTTGTCCCTCATTTGTGGAAACTCCCCTGCTATGCCAAATCAGCTTTCCCAGCTGTACCTTTGCTCTTAAGAGAAAAAAAGCAGCTGTCACTACCAACTTGGGTGAGCAAAAAAAAAAAAAATGAAATGGCACCTTCACACAAAGAAGAAACATGTAACTTCATCACTCCAGTGGTAAATCAGACTCTGGGAAGAAGTGGCACTTGCTCCCAAGATGGAGACTCAAAAGCAGAACAAGGCACTGGGCACAGGAGAGAAGGCCCCCATTTCAGATGTGAGGTAGACTCATTCTCATCCACAGAAAGTTATAGATCATAGCAGGAGATTTTCTGGATCAGAGTTCTAATCTCAAAACTCTGGAAAGTGGAGAACTGAGTACAATAGGAATGAATACCAAGAAGTGATGGAATTAAAATTCTACTCATTCAAATGCTAGATCAAAGTCAAATGCTACTTCTTAACGTTTCCCTAGTGGAGCAAGTTGCATGAAACAGATCCATAATAGTACAGAAAAATTGCTGGAGCTGTATTTCTAAGACTTCTGGAACTGTTTTTCTAAGACTCCTGGAGCCAAGCACTCTTCCTGAGAAGGGTAATAAGAAAAAACCAGAGACCTCTTTTTGAAATGAAAACTACCCTGGCTAAAATCTTAATGAAGACCCTGACAGAAGCCTGAAAAGTAGGTGTTGGCTGCACTGAGCACCACCAGCTCAGATCTCAGACATCACCCCTGGGAAGCCACAGGAAATGGGTGTGTTCTACTGACCTACACACACCAGTGAAATGTGCAAAGTTCTCAAGGTTTCTCAAAGCTGTTCAAGACTCCATCAGCCTCTCAACTGAATGGGCAAGAGATGTTGAAAGCCTCTGACTGTAATCTGCACTTCTTGAGAAGCAGAAGACTCTTCTGCTCAAGCACACCTCAACAGTACCCAGAAAACTGCAACAGCTGATGGAAGTCTAGAGATGTAAAAATCACATGTTAGGCTTCTGTAGGAACAACATGAAAAGACATCTCTAGGAGCTGCCAGGACTCCTGTGAGCTTCACATGCCACACCAAGAGGCTGTATGTAGCAAACAGCACCATTCTCAGAGTGAGGGCTGCTTGTGTCCCTGTGATGTCCAACCTTTAGCAATGTGTATGCTCCAAAGCCTTCTTTCAGTCTGCCTTATTTCATGCTGCAGAGGTAGAAGAAGACTGGAGCAGCAAAAATCTGCACTTCACTTGTCCAGCTGTAGGGGCACACGATGGCCAGAGCCTGAATAAATGTTCAAATGACCTCATCACCTGCAAGAGAAATCTCCACTGTGGAGAAAGACTGAAGAGAATTCAAAGGTTGACTCAGCTTCAGATCCTGCCCTAGAGGACCCAGAGAATGCTGGGCAGCCAGCAGAACATTTCAGGAAGTTTTAAAATCTCCACGCTGATGCCATAAGCCTGTTGCGTATGGCCCCAACAGTGTCTCCTTGTTGCCTGGCACAAGGAATGTGAGAAGGATCAGTGAGAGGAAGCTCAGGATAAGTAGGTAAAAACTAATTGAGGATCTTGAACACTTAACCCAACTGGAAACAGCCCCTGATGCCTTGCAACAGCATAAAGAGAACACTTCCACACCCTATCCACTGCTTGTGACATCGAAGAACCTTCCTAAAGAGTGGATCATTGAGGCAGCTCTGCCCCAATATATTACATTGTCATACACAGGCTTTGAGGCCCTGTCCTGCTCTTTCTTAGCTGACTGTTGCAAATTAATTTCCCATTTATCACTTGATATTCTAGAAGAGACACACACTCTCTCTAATCTGTCTCAGTGCTTTTTCCATGTCTTTTCAGGCAAACCTAAATCCAGGTAAATTGTACAGCTGCAGATAAGTTATGGGCTGACTCCTCTTTGGCCCTGATGGTTTGTTGGGAGTGAGGGAATTTTTGAAAAAGTAATGCACAGAGAAACACAACATTGAAAAACTGCACTTTGGGGACAGCAGGAAAAATACTTCTATTACAGAATTATTATTTTTTTTATTAGTAAAGCATACAAGCTAAAAAACAAGACAGGCCAAATATAAGATTAACTTACGCTTCCTCCAAATTTTTACCCACTGATATTTACCATTATTTTGTTGGGGGTTTTTGTTCTGTGCAAAGTGACCTTTTGAAAAACGAAATGTTTTTGCCTTTTCTCAAAGGGTAAACACTTTTTTTTCCCTCATACAGCTTCCCTTACTGCCTGAACTACATATGTTTTTATCTACAGTAAAATATTTTTAAAGATTAATTTGACATGTCTGATTATCCTAAGGCAGCCTGTAATTTTCTTCACTACAAACACATTAATTTACTGAAGCAGTCACTGAACAACACAGTTGAATCTGGAACAGCTCCACAAACTCTACAACTATTTCTGGGGCACAACAGTTTGTTCTAAGCAGTTCTGGCAGAAACTGCAAGAGCTTGTAAGATGGTGCTACTCACTTGATTCAATAGCATCCAGCTTCTGGAATGTCCCCAAGATATCTCCATTTACTATTTTGGGTAAGAAATCCCGCAGTTGCATAACTTCAGTTGTCAGCCTTTCCAAATCCCTCCTTCTAACTTTTACAAATTCCTCTTTGGTCTCAGCCTTCTGAAATAAAACAAAAAAGCAAAACAAAAACAAACAAACCAACAACCAACCAAACACACTGTTACAGTCCTGTAGTGCTTTTCTTCTTCAATTTCTTTTCTTGGACAAAAATATTCCTCTCTATGACGTCATTTCAGAAATTTGCAACTCTTTAAGAGAACTATCCAGCAAGCAAACCCAAAAGTCTCTGAGGTTGACCCCTTGACTGTTAATCTTAATTTTTGCCTAAATCTTAATTTTGGCCTAAAATAAATAGTATTACCTCTCTGCATGTGTTTCTTCACCCCAAATGTGTGTGCAATACATCTGAGAACACTGTAAAAACAAACACTCACATTTTAAAATGTGAGCAGCATATGCCAAGCTGTTGTTTCATGACTGCCCTAAAGTATAAAATTACTCAGCTTTTTAATTAATTCAAACATTTGCAAGACCCTCAGTCCTAAATTACAACAACTCTTTTGGAGGACACTGTACAAAACCAATTTGTCTTTTGTGAAGAGCAAAAATTATTTGCAGCCATCTGCAACCCAACCTCATGTAAATAATTTAATCCCAAGGTAAGACAGAAATGTCTATTAGCTTCCTTTCCTGCCAAACTATAGCTATAGAATAATTTTCATTCAATATTCCAGTAGAATGTGTGTTAATTTCAAAATTTCTGTACCAAAAAAACCCCATAAAGTCCAGTTTCTGATGTACATACAAGTGCACTCTGCTGGATGTTATAAAGGCTGATACACACACACCAACAAAGTTTTAACATTGTTTTGAATAAAACATCAATCACTTAATACACTTTCAGAAAGCAAAGATATCTTAGTACTGCTTTGCACTGCACTGAGAACAGTGCTGACAAAATGACATTTTTTTATGTATCACATCATATTCCAGAGGAAAGAGGCTAACAAACCAAAATCTCATCTCTGACAGGTTCAAAATGCACCATCCCCACAGCCCTCCCAAGAGCAGGCACACAACACAAATGGAAGTCATCCTCTCCAAGCATTCCCTACAATTCTTTCTGCTTTCCTACTTCCTCAGATTGAACGTTTCCTTTCAGTTTTGCTTTCTACTCTATTTCTTTCCCAGCTATCTTTCAAATCCAGTGTTTTGGGACAGGTCAATCCCACCCCTGAAGGTTCATTGCTGTAATAAAGGTATGGAATAAAGACTTCGGTTTAATTTGAACTGTAAACTCCAAGTTGCTCTAGGAAGTGCTTATGGCAAGGTTCATAAGGCCAAGTAGCACCACACCATGTGAGTCTAGAAAAATTCCACTCATCTAGGTCTCAAGAAAGCATGGAAAAAACACATGGGAAGAGGAGTCTTTAGAGGAATGCCATCTGCATCTCAGTAACCATGAATGACAGAGAGAATTCAGTATCACTCAGACTTACAGAGGAAAATTTGGTACATAAAAATAGCTCTGTTCACTAGCAGAAGCTGAATTCAAATAAAACATGCTGTGAATCACTGGTGTTGAGGTATGAAATATGCAGTAAGGAGAAAATTCTCATTTGTGGTTCCTGCTGTAAGCACAGGTCCTTGCAGTGCTGCAGTACAGCAGACAAGTTTTATTTCCTCTGTTTAAGCAGCTTCTCCACATCTCTCTGCACTACATGAGTATGTTAAAGGCAAATACAGACAGGAGAGAACAGGAGTTTTCTGTCCAGTCCTTGCAGTAACAGCGGGTGGCTGGAGGTAGGAAATTTGGCTTCAGCGAGTTCTTTCACAGGGGTCAAGTTATGCACCTGAGCTCATGTCCTGCCTGCTGTGAGCCCAGTGAAGGAAATCCCATTTCCCTGCCAGAACAGGGCAGAGCTCCCAACTGGTGATGAAGCCCCAGCAAGGAATCACTGCCAGCCCGCTCCCCACCCACTCCCCACCAGCCCAGGGTGCCTCTGGCACCGCTCTACAGCTCCCACCGCGTTCCCCTCTACCTGCGGCCCCGCCATCGCCCCCTCAGGGCCCCACAAGGCCCAGGACCACCACACAACCCCCCCGCTCCTTCTGCTCCTCGGGGCATCCACACGGGCCTCCGGGCCGGGCCCGGCCTCAGAGCCAGCCCCGAGCGGCCCCGGGCCGCTCGTGATACCTGCGCGTCGCCAGCGAGGCCGGCGCTGCGCCACATCGCGACAGCGGCGACAGCGGCGTCGCGCGGGAGGGGGAGCGCGTGAGGGCGGGAAGGAACACGCTATGGCCACGTCTCCGCTGTGGCCACGCCCACCCGCACCGGGTGTCGCGTTCGGGGCGTGGCCGGGGATGAGGCTCCGCCCCCAGCCCCGCCCGGAGCGGCCCCGGGACAACCCCGCCACAACACCGGGACAACACCGTGACAATACGGGGCTGCCGGGGACGGCCAGAGCAAGGCAGAGTTGTGGGGAGCTGCAGCCCGGCCCTGCTGTGGTGCTGCTGGGACTGGAGGCTCCAGGAGTGACACCAAGCTGGGAGGGAGTATTGATCTGCTGGAGGGCAGGGAGGCTCTGCAGGGGAATCTGGACAGGATGGGTGGAAGGAGCGAGGCCAGTGGTGTGAGGTTCAACAAGGCCAACTGCTGGGTCCTGCACTTGGGTCACAGCAATCCCCTGCAGCTCCAGGCTGGGAAAGGCATGTCTGGAAAGCTGCCCGGAGGAAAAGGACCTGGGGTGCTAGTCAACAGAGGCTGAACATGAGCCAGGAGTGCCCAGGCGGCCAAGAAGGCCAATAGCACCTGGCCTGTGTCAGCAATAGTGGGGCCAGCAGGCCCAGGACAGTGATTATGGCTCTGTGCTGGGCACAGGTGAGGCCACACCTCAGGTGCTGTGTCCAGTTCTGGGCCCCTCGACTCAGGAAGGACGTGGCGCTCAGTTCCACAGGCTGGTTGACAGGGTGGTGATCGGTCGTAGACTGGACTCGATGATCACAGAAGTTCTTTTCCAGCCCTAATGACTCTGTGATCTGTGGGGTGCCCGGGCCGGTGGAGAGCCCCAGGGGACCCGGGCCGGTGGTGCTGACGAGCACTCGGCGGCGCTCCCGCACCCAACCCGGCGTCCCTGCCCGCGCCCCGCCTTCCCCGCGGTGACGGCAGAGCCCAGCGTCGGTGACGGCATCAGGCGGAGCCCGGCGCCGGTGACGGCATCAGGCGGAGCCCGGCGCCGGTGACGGCATCAGGCGGAGCCGGCGCGGCGCGGGCGGGACGGGCCGGCGGCGGGGCAGGAGCGGGGCAGGGCTGGGCCATGGCTCCCGCGGCCGTGCAGCCGCCCGAGGTGCAGTTCGCTCAGCGCTTGGCCGCCAACGAGAAGCGCATCCGGGACCGCGCCCTCAAAAAGCTGCGGGGCTACATCGGCGTGCGGACCCAGCGCCCCGCCGGGACGGACCGGGCCGGGCCGGGGGGTGGACAGGGACGGGGGCAAGGACGAGGACAGGGACAGGGATGGGGACAGGTGCCGGTGCCGAACCGGGGGGAGCGGCGGCCCCGGCGGACCGACAGCATGGGGAGGAAAGGAAGCACCACGTGTGCGCCTGAGCCCGGCACGCCTCCTCGGGGTTTTTTCTCCGGCTTTTTTTTTTTCTTTAATTCTTTAATCTTTTTATCTTTTACTTTACTTTTTGTCTTTATTTTAAATTTTTTTTTAGATTTATTTATTGTTTTAAGCATATATTTCACCCCGTATACACACGTATGGCCCCGGTGCTGCGGCAAGCGCAGCCCCAGCACCCGCGGGCCCAGGGACTCGTGGATCCCCGCTCGGGAAGGATCAGCATGGATCGAGGGAGGGTCTTGCTGGCACCATTAGCAAATCCGGGATGGGAGCAGGATGCCTTGTGTGCTCTCGTTCCCAAGGAACAGGGTGTAAACGCACTGAACTGATCCAGGCTGGAAACATCCTGGTATATGCAGCATAAAGTTTTATATTCTGTTGTGGAAACATCCCGGTATATGCAGCATAAAGTTTAATGTTCTGTTGTTTCTGTGAAGTGATGTCTGTGTTTCCATGACTGATACTCAGGAGCATCAGAGGGAATAGAAGAAAGCTGAGTTATCTTTCAACACTTGTGTGGTTGCAGCTGATTCTGTGTAACCCATTTGGGTTCCCTGTTGCCTCCACTTCATGGTATATCAAAAGATTTTTTTTTTCTACGTTTTTCCAAAAATTCTACTTGGAGCTGTATATTGGCACCTTAGAACTAAGAGCTCAGTGGGGTCCCTGGAGTCAGCTTGGGGCTGGCAAGGCCAGTCTGAAGCTCTCTGCACTTGAAAGTGCCTCATGTGCACAATTTCCACATGGATGCATGTTATTCCTATACCATATATATAATATAATGCATAATCTATGTTTTGTGTTTCATTTATACAAAACATGTATTTTATGAGCTGTTTTACACATTATTTTATTACCACATATTTAAATAATATATTATTGCATATTACATCTGTATTTTATCTATTAGTATATATTTTTTATATATATTATATATATGGCTTTGGGGAACCAGCTGACCCCAAGAGCTAAACTGCAGCTGGAGTGTTGGTTGGACCTCAGTGAATTCCTTGAAAAGACTGTAGAATCAATATGGTTTCTTGCCTTTCTGAGTAGTATTTGACCCATTAACCACATTTGACAGAGGGAAGGGCACCTAGAACAGCCTTACAGGGTCAGGCCAGGGAGGCAAACAGTCATGATCCCATTCCTGATAGTTAACATAGATCTAGGGACTGCCTGGGGACTAGGATGGTGTACATCATGTACCTCGCAAGTACTTTCTATTTCTTAGCACTGGAGACTTTCTAAGGCGGACTCTTTTTGCTCAGCAGTGCTCTGTACACCTCACTGTGAAGTGCAGATTCCTTGCAGTTTGTGGAAGGAGCCACAAGAAGGGCAGGAGTGCCCATAACTGAGGGAGAAGGCTGCAGGTTCAGGCACTGCTTTAAGACATTGTGAAACCATCACAGGGAAATTGCTCCATTGGGCTGTGAACTTTTTGCATGTTAAAATCAGCACACCATGGAATGCAAATGAGTAAGAAACAAGGGTGACTAATCTCCAGAGCCTTTAGATGTACTTGCTGTTAGGTACTATCCAAACTGGTAGTATTGAAACAAAGATTAACTTCTTTGGGCCTGGAGAAAAAGCATGTTCAGGAGAGAGGTTTTGTTTTTTTTAACTTATTTATTAATTAGCAGCTGTATACCCATCCAGTGTTCTGAGAGGGATGAGGCTCACACATCAGGCAACCCAGGTAAGATGCCCTAACCTGAGGAGTTGAGAATGTGCTGACTTCTGGAAGAAGTGCTGGAGTTGACCTGATGTTCAGGGCTGTCAGGTGTTTTAGAAGTAGACAGGACTGCTCTGTGTGGTCTGTGCTAAGGCTGAGGGAGCTTCTTTAGAGTGCCAGAGCTCTTAATTTTCGGCAAGAAGTTAAACTCTGTGGAAGGCACTGAACTACCAGATGAATCGATAAGAATTCGAAAGAATAGTGAACAGAAATAATTCATAGTAAAAGAGGGAAGATTGCTGGGGGATTTCCTGTCTGACAGAACTGCACTTACTTGGGCCTAGATCTTTACAGGATTTTTGTAATTTCCACTGAAATGTGCCTGTGCAGATCTGGCCCATTGGGATTATCTAGAATAGGAAAAAATGTAACAAATTCAATGACAGCAGTGTCAAAGCAGCCCAACTCCCAAACAAATGCTGAAAGGCTTGCACTAAAGTAGCTGTGAGTGGTTGTAACATGCTCCCACAATACACAGAACAGTGTTGCTGTGCATAGGGACAATTACAATTCAAGCCCTAAAGCCAAAATCCTTCTCAGGATAGGAATAAGGTATAGAAGGCCTTCAGTTGTGGGCGCTGTGGTTGCTAATTCAATGCATTCAGTTTTTAAAATTACCTTACTTTAATGGTTATTATTTGCCACCTGTGGCTGGGGACAACACATAAAGTTGAAAAACAGGAAACATAATCTTGAAATGACTCTTTTGAGGATAAGAAAATTGCTCTCATTTTTGGTCAGTCTTTTGTCAAATGGGTACAGGATTGCCTAGGACACTTAAAAAAGCTCTGTGTGTATGAAAAGCAACCCCATGAAAGTCTGTGTTTTCTTCCCTCAGAGCACAGGAACAGGCTGTCCAGGGCAGTGGTGGATTCAGTGTCCCTGGAGGGATTTAAAAGATGTGTAGATGTGGCACTTGGAGACATGGTTTAGTGGTGGCCTTGGCAGTGATTATCTGAGAGGTCTTTTCCAACTTGAAGAATTCTGTGAACTCCTGAGCCACATTTATAGGTAGCAGGTGATGCCTTTGTAGGGTTAATGCTGCTTGTGAGGTTAAAACTGCTTCTTACCCCTCAGTATGACACATATAATTCCCTTAAGAGAGTTATTAATTTTAATATTGCAATGAATATTAAATCAGTGAATTAAATTGTTATATATTTTATCATAACAATACTGTCAAATCTAAGTTAAATTTATAATTAATACTGCTGTAATACTACTGGACACATTGCTTCCTACATAGCATTTTGCATATTTCCTCACTTCCTTTCTTTTTAAGCAATCAGGACTACTGTGTTTGCAGGTGTTTTTGTCTGAGTGATAACTGCTTTCAGATAACTTGGTCCAAGAAGAAGGTGCACAAGTTAGGTCTTGCACTGGGTCTCGGGCTTTTTGACTGGCAGACCCCTGAGACAGTGATCTTTTTGGAGCAAATTTAAGCTTACTGAAGAACTGAAGATGGTGACCTTTTCGAAGTGATTTTTCATGAGATTGCTTGGCAGTATTTAATAGGGCATCATTTGAAAATAGCTGTGGTAGGTCATTGTAGCTGCCTTGTAACAATGTACTGTTGCAATTTTACTAAACAGAAATTTGGCTAATGTAAGGAAAAATCCAGTTCTTGAGCAGGTGTTAGTGACTTTCCATGTAGTACTTTACTTCTGGAATGTGAAAATATTTTTTTGCTGTTAAAATTCAGGTGTTACTACATCCCAAGACTAACTATCGGAAATATTTTTGTTATAGTTGCTCAGGCTCTTTGACTATAAAGTTTAGTGTAGAAATAAATATGTTGATTGCTAGAAGTTAATTCTATCAAAACAAACCCCTAGTAAGGAATAAAAGTATTGGTAAAGTGAGACTTGCTAAAAA